TTGTTCCTGCGGGACTCCTATGGTCGTCTGTATCGGCGAAGGAAATTCTGAACTCGACTAAGGAACACTAAACAACAGCAGACAGATTCTTCAATAAGGCCAATGAACGCTAGCAAGACGTTTCCTACAGAGTGGCGGGGGAGGGGGATGCAGAAGGACTCACCTGAAGTCCAATAAGCAAGTCCAGGAAAGAATCGTCCTCGCCGATGGATTCAGCCGAATTTTCCACCACTAAGTTCTCATCCAGGGCGCAGCGTTGATCATTCATGCGCTGGGACTGCGAATTGACCAGCAGATCAAAGAGGAGTTCGGCCGAGTCGCCGAGGCTTGAGGGATGCGCCTGAAAGCCGTTCGTGCCGTTGTCTTCAGTCTGAAGCACACCAAGGGTAAAAAATTTTTCATCCGTATGAATTTGAAAATAGGCATCCCAAGAAATATAATTTGATAGAAAAGATTCTTTGGGAAACAGGAACAAACTTTATTTCAAATTTTCGACGCTGGCACACCAGATCATCTTCGGACGTCAGAGAAATGTGAGAAGAGTAGTGCGCATTCTTAAACGTGCCAAAAATCGATAACGCTTCGCCATGGCAAACATTTTTCTCAACATTAGGCCAATATCCAACTGAGGCGGGTGAATCTAAGCCCTAACATTTATACTAATTTTTGGTCCAAGCCTCAGCAGGCCTACGCCAAAAGATTTTATCTGAGTTAGCGCATTAAGGACTGGGGGACTTAAAAAGCAGTTTGAACTGGCTAGTCTATCAGACGGAACTTCTGTTAGACGGAGAAATGCTTTCTATTGGACATTCGTGCTGTACGTTAATTGAATATTCATTTGAGAAGCGTTTTCTTGTTTTTATTATTATACTATTGTAGATCTCTTTTGTTTTACTTATTTTTTTATTAGTGTTTAGTGTTGTTTGTTTGTTTGTAATTTATAGTTTGTTTGTTGTTACGCACTTGCTAAACCAGGAAGGTTTCCGGTCCAATAAAACCCAGGAAGCACTGTATTTATATCCGCTCTGCATTATCGAGAAGTATCACCAGTTGCGATGGTCATTTTTCTGCGGCTCATATCATTAGCTACCCACACCCCCAAACTGGAGATTTCAATGTGAGCTCAACGAGGAGAGCAGGCTTGCACGAACTAGTGTAGTTTAAAAGCAAGATGCTCTGTAGTGACCGCATTCGGCGTGCAACGCTCCACTTTTGGCCTTTCACGACGGGGCGCGCATGGAGGTCTACCCTAGTCCGGTCTAGCAAATCATCTCCTCGAGGCTGACTCATAAAAAGGCCGTTTTGTAGGCACTTGTGACGACTCTGCGATTTCACATTTCGGATGCCGCCCCTCTAGGGAGCGGAATGCACTCGTCCGAGAGTCAACTTCGGTGAGAGTATCTACTGTATTATAACCACCTACTTGCAAATTTTAAGTAGGTTTAATTATCCACAATCTTCCAGCTTTTTGCGCGCCGGCGGTTGCTCAACTAGGGATTGGATGATGATGATACTGGACTGCAGAGGGGTTTTCGGAAGGCCACCATCTACAGTAACCCATTCCTTCCCCTTAAAATCGGGTGCCCATAAGACCGAGGAGCGCACTTAGCGCGCACTCAGGCGGCCCCACGAGCGTTTCCTACCTATTCTCCACTCCTGCTGTACAGAATGAACTATTCCTAACACTCTAGGTTCCCACTTCTTCTCCTTCCCACAAGGAAGGAACTGGGCCTGAAGATTTTACCGACAAAGGTGTTGTCTATTAACCCAAACCACTGTAATGGTTCATTAGAGAAGCTAGCGCAGTGAGCTTTAAGGGTGTGAGAAATATGAAACACTGTAGTGGCAGTGCAGGCCAAGCAGGACGGAAGCAAGGACTGACGTACAGAGAGATGAAGGGAAGACGGCTGACACGGCTTGGATTCTGAAGTACTTGCTGCATCTGAAGAAACAAAGAAAAAAATGTCAGTTAGCACACATCCAATGAGAGAAATCAACAGTGTAATCCACTACAACGAAGGCCTCTGTGTTTCTATTAGGAGAGGACCGTAAATAAAGAACAGAAGGTACCCAAAGTAAGTACGGGCGGTTTCTACTCCGGCTGAATTCATAGTAGTTCTATTCCAACGTCAAAACCAGAGGTGCAAGCAAGATATAAAGGAGCAGATGGTACAAACAGTGGTTCATGAATCCTCACAGTTTGTGATGACTCTGAGTCCTCTGGAGTGATGAGATGGCCGACTTCTAGGTAAAACAAGCAGTATAGTTGCACAGACAACAGAAAGGTGAACTGCTCGCATTGTCCACGCATATCCATTCACTGCATTGGCCTATTCGGTCATATAGGCGTCCATGAAAATAATAAGTAACACACCATCGACCAACCCACATCATTAAACACTTTCCTATCAGCACATACACCACACATAAACACAATCCAGTAATTTTTACTGC